CAGCAAAAGGGGGCGCTACAAAGTATTAACTTAAGGGGGCTGAATAATTTTGCACGCCCAATTTTTCAGTTTTTTTATTTGTTAAAAAAGTTTGACATATCCAATAAATTTTGTTCCACTTCATGATTGTGTCCCACTTGTTGTTGATTCTTCACAAAAAATTACAGTTTTATATCTTTATGTTTGAAGCCTGAAATGTGGCAAAAGGTCGCAAAGTTCAAGGGGGCCGAATACTTTCGCAAGGCACTGTAAATATCTGGTTTGTAAAGCCACTCACTTTTTGGTCTCAAGTTCTACTGGTTTAACACGCCAGTTGTCTTCTCTCACAGTCCTGGAATAAGTTTCATAACTGGAGATAGAGGGAGAGAGCAGCAGTGTTAGTCTCATCTTTCATACACAACCCCCCTTGAGCAGAGACAGGTAAAGGGAAGAGTGAGTAAATATCCATTGCTAAAAAAAAGATAATTGTCACTTTTATATAAATGATTGGTTTGTAAAGCCACTCACTTTTTGGTCTCAGGTTCTTTTGGTTTAACACGCCAGTCGTCTTCTCTCACAGTCCTTGAATAAGTTTCGTAACTGGAGCGATAGGGAGAGAGCAGCAGTGTCAGTCTCATCTTTCACTCACTGATGGCAGCAGTGTGATGGGTTGTACAGACGGACTCTACGTCTGTCAGTGTAACTCAGGAGATAATCATTTTCTGCCATTGCTTGTTAATGGCATGCTGTTTAACAGGCTGTGATTTAACAAAAGGACATTTCTAATACACATCATTAATCTGACATCTGGAGGCTGATAATTAGAGGGAAGGAAATGAGGGCAAATTGAAAGACAGTGGAATAGCAGATCTTGTCATTTAATTTCACTGACAGAATTGCAACAGGAGACTGTCTAACCAGGTGTCATGCAGGAGTTGCAGGTAACTTTAGATCCAGAGTGGAGTATTAAGGTGATAAAGATGTATTCCCACAGGGTTTAGCCTAGATCACTCGCCCCCCTAACTAAGATGGCTGCGCTATGAGCATAAAGACAAAAGCAGATGTGGTAGACAAAAGTGTAAAACAAGCCCTGATGATCTAAATATTAGATAATGGGTGTTTGTTTATAAATGCATTTCATTAAATTAAACAAATTCCTCAAACTTAGAATAAATTTCACCATCATATGGTACCACATCCATGATGAAAATTTCATAACAGACAAAAACTGTGGTTAAAAGAGAAGCTGCTTTGCAAAAGTAAGAAAAATCAACTCTGGTGAAAGCCCCCTTACGTTACGCTGTCTTACGTTAACAAGATCATAAACTTACCGATCCGTGGCAAGCTCTGACTTACTGTGTATCTCCCTGCAAAGCAATGAGAGCTGTATTAGACATTTACTGTAGGCTGTAGCAGTCAATAAGCCGGACACTATCCAGTGAGCAACAATTCTGCGGTTTTTATAAGTGTATGAAGCTGATATTTTTTGACTCACGGCTCCAGAGGGGTCACGGTTTATTGGCCAGGTGTGGTATGTTTTCTACTGTGCTGCAGCATTACCTCATCCTGAGCCCTCCTCTCATGTATTGCAATTGTAAACATACCTTTCATGCTCTCAATTCTTGCTAACCTCAAAAGTGTTTGATCATACAATGGCAGTTTCAAGAATTTCAAGAGTGTTTCCCAACCTGATCGTGGTACTGACTGTCTGTGTGTCCTCGGGGCTACAAAACATAGGACATTCTTGCATTACAAGTGTGGCAGCACAGGTGTCAGAAATAAGTGGCAGTATTAAAGTGCTTTAATACGCATTTAATGAGTTCAGTCCGAGTTAAGATACCTTTCCTCATCCTCATCCTCATCCTCCTCCTCCTCCTCCTCCTCCTCCTCTCCTTTAGTGTTGGCGATAGTATAGACAGTGGGTGATGTCCACCTGTCCCATGGGGAGTCTTTCACAGTTGACCTTCAGCACAAACAGACATGACAATGTACAGTAGCATTAGAAGATGACAAATTTCCACTCTGTATATTGTTTAAAAAGCCAGACTGGGATTTGTTTTACCACAGTAGTGAGGAATATGTGTAAATAAATATATTGTCTATCTGACCTATTTTCAGCAGTATGCAATGTCTTCTGGCTCAATGAGTAGATGCTACAAAAGCCTAGTTACTTCACTATAGTGACATAGAAGGAGGTTATGGGAATAAAAGGAGCAGATATACACCCAGAGCTTTTAATAAAAAAAATATGACTTACTTCCTCTCAAACTTGATCACTGTCTGTTGATCTTCAGCTTGGTCTTCTGGTTCAGCATTAGGGCTGGAAGAGGACAAGCATCAAAAGGCTTTTAGCCCTGAAACATAGCGGCCTGCATCGTGTGGAAGTGGAAGAGTAAATCAGCATGTCATTACCTCTCTTCTGTGTTAGTCTCCTGAGGTGTGATGTCCCATGTGCGTGCCCATGACCGCCGAGAGCTGAAATTGAAGCACCAAGGTGAGCATTATAAGTTACTTTGCATTATTTTCTAAGTTAATTTATTTGTTGTATCTATGAAATATGAAAAAAACTGTGAAGAAAGTCCATTATAATTTTTCAGAACACAAGCTGATGTCAGATGGCTTGTTAACAGTCCAAAACCCAAGATGTTCAATATTAAATGATTTAAGCCAAAGAAAAGGCAGCAAATGGATCACATTTAAAAGCTGGAACCAGAGAATGTTTGGCATTATTTGAAGAGCGACTCAAATGATTAATGGATTTTCAAAACTGTTTCCAATTAATTTGCTTTCTAATTGACTAATAGACTATCTAATCTCCTGCAAAAACTAGTCAACAGATCAATCAATCCAGAAAACAATTGTTATAGTCTTATTTTTCAGACTCTTTTTGGATCTTTGTTCTCAATAAAAGTGGTTGATGCACTGGAGAAATAAAGAATAACTCAACTTAAGTGTATTAATAAGATTGCTAGGTGCTAATTCTGATAGCTGCTGATTATGAATGTTGTAATAACTTACAAAGTGAAGCAGTTGTAGTAATAAACATTATGTAGTAACATGATAGCATCAGTGCTACAAACAGAGGTTACAATATAGAAAAAGAGGAATTTGCATTATCGTTCCTGTACCTGTTGATGGGAGTATCTGAGACGGGCTGGAGCAGGTCAGAGGCTCTGTAATAGAGAAAAGTCTCTCATAATCAGAAACTGCTGCATTATGCATGCCGAGATCCTATCTGGCTGGCTGGAAAACAGTCACGGCTCCAAACCAATATGATTACCTGTTAGAGGATGTGGTCCCTATCGGATATGGATCAAACGGATCAGCCGAGCTGAAAAACAATTTCACACTGATTTCACTCTCAATTGTCGGCATGGCCCATCTTGTGTCAGAGGAATTCTGATCACACCGACTCATAATGGAACAATTTAATGCAGTTTGAATGGTAAACAGAAACACCAAGGAGCCCGGGGCCAAACTCAATCAAAATGGGAATCCGGATGTCTTTGACAAATGGACAGACTATTTCACTGCTGAATGGGGAAATTAGTGTATAGCAGGTTTTCTTCAACTAAAATGAACCCTGATTCCAGTCAGTAACAATAAACAGCACTGAACCAATCATTAATATCAGAACTGTTGGCAGATAGTTAAACTACAAGAAAATCTTTCCTATAGACAATTACTTTTTTAACCACATTAAAACTGATTTGCTTACTTAATTGGAAAGTCTTAAAATTCAGTGCCACATTTTTTAAAGTAAGATTTAAATTTTGCATTTACGTGTATATTACATACATTTGAATACAAACATCTTAAAGCAGTAGCCTGAATGTGGCATGGTAATAAATAAACTACCTGGATTTAGTGACTGTAGTTTCCACATGTGAGCCCCAGGGATCTGCACTGCCCTTTTCACTGCATGGAGCCAAGGCAGAAAAGTAAAGAGAGTGGTACGGATGAATGGCATGATGGGAAGAGAAAAGAGGGCAAGTAAAGGTTAGAGTGGTTCTTCTCATACAGTATTCACTATGCCAATCCACTGAAATCCACTCAGCTATTTAACAAGCATAAAAACCACCTGAATATAGTACAGGACAGGCGTATTCTCTGAGAGTATGTGTGTGTGTGTGTTCTCGTACCTTTTTTCAGTAATGATCACAGTCTTGGTGGTTCTAGTGAGGCTGGCGGACACAGACAGTATAGACGCAGGTTAGTACAAATCATTACAAGGCATATATGAATAGAATGCATTTCATATCAGACTCAGCTCTGCATAGATACTGTGGCTATTTGTTTAAGAGTAGCCTGCCATCTCCCTCTACCTTTGTGTATCCTCTGTCTGCTTCACCTCCTTTCGCTGCGTACTGAAGCTGGTGGAGACAAAACAAAGCCCCAATACTAATCAGTACAGAACGGTCTCTTCTATTTACTTTCACACTGCAGATAAGATGTGGCTTTCTGTTTCGAAGTATTACTCAGTTGCTTCAGGAATCTTCAACTTTGTTTCTATCTAACAGGAAGCACTGGTTAAAATAGAATGCCGGAAGGAGAGGAGCCCTGATTTGTGGATCAGACTTGAGGTAGATGGGTTTTATTAAAGATCTTACACCTCAGGGACCTGGTCCCTTCATCTGTGGTGATAAGAATTAATGGTATATAGGCAGGGAAGGATGGGGGGCCAGAGGCCATCATATGTTGGTGTCTTTCTCACATGCATCCCTGTGTGTTAATTGGTATGAAGTCATTAGCCAGGCAATTCGGAGTGCCAATGGTCTTTGCTGGGTTTGCTTCACTAAAGACATCAAACACAAAAGTCAAATACAGAGCAAAGTTTGTTTCAAGCTCCCCTGAAACTATACCCAACCAAGGCAAGGTGGGTTAAGGTAATGCTTCGGCTTTGCTACTGACAAGGGAGCTATTGATTTTCCACTGATGAAAGGATGATTCTTCGAATAACTCCGTATTTGAAGGGCTTGGTGGAAAAGTGCTCTTGTTATACCTGTCTAGTTCACCAAGCAGATCCTGACTCCAGCGCCTTGGGCTGGGAGGAGCAGGCTCTGCTGACTTCTCTGGACTGCAGAGTTAGAAAGAGAAGAGGAAGAGGTAAAGGAGAAGATGATGAACAAAGGGGGATTTGGGATTCAGAGGAGATTTCACAGCAAGAACAAGCCAGTTGAAGTAGAGGAGAGGGAGATCATTCAAAGTCAAACAGTGCCACCTTGTGGGTGATATTCAGAGGATTTCTCCTGTCATTACTTAACTGCAGAGTCAGTAAAATGTATTTTTAACAGACCTATTAGTTAGAGCTAGAAGATCGCCTGTTGCTGGTTCATGTTTTCTGAGCACTGGAGTTGGCTTCTTTTCAACACTACAGACAAAAAATAAATAAATTAGTGCACCTCTTTTGGCACATATGCATTACAATGTATTTTTAACAGACCTATTAGTTAGAGCTAGAAGATCGCCTGTTGCTGGTTCATGTTTTCTGAGCACTGGAGTTGGCTTCTTTTCAACACTACAGACAAAAAATAAATAAATTAGTGCACCTCTTTTGGCACATATGCATTACAATGTATTTTTAACAGACCTATTAGTTAGAGCTAGAAGATCGCCTGTTGCTGGTTCATGTTTTCTGAGCACTGGAGTTGGCTTCTTTTCAACACTACAGACAAAAAATAAATAAATTAGTGCACCTCTTTTGGCACATATGCATTACAATGTATTTTTAACAGACCTATTAGTTAGAGCTAGAAGATCGCCTGTTGCTGGTTCATGTTTTCTGAGCACTGGAGTTGGCTTCTTTTCAACACTACAGACAAAAAATAAATAAATTAGTGCACCTCTTTTGGCACATATGCATTACAATGTATTTTTAACAGACCTATTAGTTAGAGCTAGAAGATCGCCTGTTGCTGGTTCATGTTTTCTGAGCACTGGAGTTGGCTTCTTTTCAACACTACAGACAAAAAATAAATAAATTAGTGCACCTCTTTTGGCACATATGCATTACAATGTATTTTTAACAGACCTATTAGTTAGAGCTAGAAGATCGCCTGTTGCTGGTTCATGTTTTCTGAGCACTGGAGTTGGCTTCTTTTCAACACTATAGACAAAAAAATAAATAAATTAGTGGACCTCTTTTGGCACATATGCATACACCTCTGTATTATATTTGTAAGTGCCTCATTTAATTAAATCTAATCTGGGGCACCTTCTTGTGTAAAGAGTAAATTCTAGGCACCTGAAAGTGAGATGTGGGTTATTTTGTAACTACTTTGAAGTTAACACAGCAGCACTTAGCAACTATCTGCATTCTTGCCAAACCTGCTATGAAATGAAGGAGGAAGTTATTGATTTTTTTTATACCTGTCCTCTGAGGTGCGATGATCCTCTGACCTCACTTTTGTCTTTGCAAGCCCTGGCTCATCACCTTTAGAGCTGGAGAGGAAATTTCAGATGGCATGAGAGTGTCATGGTAATCTTTTTTCATACTGGTTTTTGCTACTTTCATCTTTTTCTTTTTCTCAGTACCTGGTTGAACTTGTACCAAAAGAAATGAGAGTATCGGACAAGGCAGTGAGTGTGTCAGTACTGGAGCTGTGAAACGGAACAAACAGAACAAACATTCTAGGAAAGATTTCAAACATACAATAGAAATGCTTAAAGAAAGCCACCTGACAGCACATTTAAAGCCTTGCGTAAGAATTATGATACTGAATTATTAATAAAAAATATTTGGGCAAACATAATGCTGATCCATTATTACGTCCATTATTACAGTTTTAAATATAACTACACGTTATGCTGATGCAGTAGTTGAATAAACAATACAAAAGTCTGCAAAATGTATTATAATTATATGTCCCTGTGAATATTGCATATTAAACACCTGGACTGTTATTACTGATGGATTAATAAGCAGCATTCATTTTAATAATCTTTAGTAGATGAATCTGTAATAATCCAGAGTTTGGTTTATTTAAATCTGACCTTGGCTTTGAAGAAGGTTTAGATTCTGGCTTTGGTTTTCTTTCTCCTTCAGGTTCAATCTTCAAAGTGGTCGCTGTTAGACCAGACACTGGAGCTGGAGAGTTTAGATCAGTTGAAAGTGTGGCAGGGGTTACCAGATTAGGTGATTTGGGAACAGATGAAGATAGTGCAGGAGTCACTGGATCTGTTGATTTTGATACAGTTGAAGCTGGGGTAGGGGTCAGTGGAGTAGTTGATTTTGGGACAGTTGAAGTCAAGTCAGGGGTCACTGGAGCAGCTGATTTTGGGGCAGTTGCTGTCGGAGCAGGTGATTTTTGAGCAGCTGAAGTGAAAGCAGGTGATTTTGGGTCAGCTGCTGTCAGAGCTGGGGTAACCGGAGCAGGTGATTTTAGGTCAGTTGAAGTCGGAGCGGGTGATTTTTGAGGAGTTGAAGCGGGTGATTTTGGGTCAGCTGTTGTCGAAGCCGGGGTAACCGGAGCAGGTGATTTTGGGTCAGTTGTTGTCGGAGCAGGTGATTTTGGGTCAGCTATTGTCGAAGCCAGGGTAACCAGAGCAGGTGATTTTGGGTCAGTTGCTGTCGGAGCAGCTGATTTTCGGGCAGTTGCTGTCGGAGCAGCTGATTTTCGGGCAGTTGCTGTCGGAGCAGCTGATTTTGGGTCAGCTGTTGTCGAAGCCGGGGTAACCGGAGCAGGTGATTTTGGGTCAGTTGTTGTCGGAGCAGGTGATTTTGGGTCAGCTATTGTCGAAGCCAGGGTAACCAGAGCAGGTGATTTTGGGTCAGTTGCTGTCAGAGCAGCTGATTTTGGGACAGTTGCTGTTGAAGCAGGGGTAACCGGAGCAGCTGATTTTAGGTCAGTTGAAGTCGGAGTGGGTGATTTTTGAGCAGTTGAAGCAGGTGATTTTAGGTCAGTTGAAGTCGGAGCGGGTGATTTTGGAGCAGTTGAAGCAGGTGATTTTAGGTCAGTTGAAGTCGGAGCGGGTGATTTTGGAGCAGTTGAAGCAGGTGATTTTAGGTCAGTTGAAGTCGGAGCGGGTGATTTTGGAGCAGTTGAAGCAGGTGATTTTAGGTCAGTTGAAGTCGGAGCGGGTGATTTTGGAGCAGTTGAAGCAGGTGATTTTAGGTCAGTTGAAGTCGGAGCGGGTGATTTTGGAGCAGTTGAAGCAGGTGATTTTAGGTCAGTTGAAGTCGGAGCGGGTGATTTTGGAGCAGTTGAAGCAGGTGATTTTAGGTCAGTTGAAGTCGGAGCGGGTGATTTTGGAGCAGTTGAAGCAGGTGATTTTAGGTCAGTTGAAGTCGGAGCGGGTGATTTTGGAGCAGTTGAAGCAGGTGATTTTAGGTCAGTTGAAGTCGGAGCGGGTGATTTTGGAGCAGTTGAAGCAGGTGATTTTAGGTCAGTTGAAGTCGGAGCGGGTGATTTTGGAGCAGTTGAAGCAGGTGATTTTAGGTCAGTTGAAGTCGGAGCGGGTGATTTTGGAGCAGTTGAAGCAGGTGATTTTAGGTCAGTTGAAGTCGGAGCGGGTGATTTTGGAGCAGTTGAAGCAGGTGATTTTAGGTCAGTTGAAGTCGGAGCGGGTGATTTTGGAGCAGTTGAAGCAGGTGATTTTAGGTCAGTTGAAGTCGGAGCGGGTGATTTTGGAGCAGTTGAAGCAGGTGATTTTAGGTCAGTTGAAGTCGGAGCGGGTGATTTTGGAGCAGTTGAAGCAGGTGATTTTAGGTCAGTTGAAGTCGGAGCGGGTGATTTTGGAGCAGTTGAAGCAGGTGATTTTAGGTCAGTTGAAGTCGGAGCGGGTGATTTTGGAGCAGTTGAAGCAGGTGATTTTAGGTCAGTTGAAGTCGGAGCGGGTGATTTTGGAGCAGTTGAAGCAGGTGATTTTAGGTCAGTTGAAGTCGGAGCGGGTGATTTTGGAGCAGTTGAAGCAGGTGATTTTAGGTCAGTTGAAGTCGGAGCGGGTGATTTTGGAGCAGTTGAAGCAGGTGATTTTAGGTCAGTTGAAGTCGGAGCGGGTGATTTTGGAGCAGTTGAAGCAGGTGATTTTAGGTCAGTTGAAGTCGGAGCGGGTGATTTTGGAGCAGTTGAAGCAGGTGATTTTAGGTCAGTTGAAGTCGGAGCGGGTGATTTTGGAGCAGTTGAAGCAGGTGATTTTAGGTCAGTTGAAGTCGGAGCGGGTGATTTTGGAGCAGTTGAAGCAGGTGATTTTAGGTCAGTTGAAGTCGGAGCGGGTGATTTTGGAGCAGTTGAAGCAGGTGATTTTAGGTCAGTTGCTGTCGGAGCAGGTGATTTTGGGTCAGTTGCTGTCGGAGCAGGTGATTTTAGGTCAGTTGCTGTCGGAGCAGGTGATTTTAGGGCAGTTGCTGTCGGGGCAGCTGGTTTTGGGGCAGGCTGTCGGAGCAGGGATAACCGGAGCAGGTGATTTTAGGTCAGTTGCTGTTGGAGCAGCTGATTTTGGGGCGGGTGCTGTCGGAGCAGGGGTAACCGGAGCAGCTGATTTTGGGTCGGTTGTTGTCGGAGCAGGGGTAACCGGAGCAGCTGATTTTGGGGCAGTTGCTATCAGAGCAGGTGATTTGGGGGTAGTTGAATTTGGAGCAGGTGATTTTGGGGCAGTTGTAGGAGCCGGGGTAACTGGAGCAGTTGATTTGGGGGCAGCTGAAAAAGGAACAGGGGTAACTGGAGCAGGTGATTTTGGGGCAGCCGAAAAAGGAGCAGGGGTAACTGGAGCAGTTGATTTGGGGGCAGCTGAAAAAGGAACAGGGGTAACTGGAGCAGGTGATTTTCGGGCAGCTGAAAAAGGAGCAGGGGTAACTGGAGCAGGTGATTTTGGGGCAGCTGAAAAAGGAGCAGGTGATTTTGGGGTAGCTGAAAAAGGAGCAGGGGTAACTGGAGGGTAGTTGAATTTGGAGCAGGTGATTTTGGGGCAGTTGTAGGAGCCGGGGTAACTGGAGCAGTTGATTTGGGGGCAGCTGAAAAAGGAACAGGGGGAACTGGAGCACGTGACTTTAGGGGAGACCGAAAAAGGAGCAGGGGTAACTGGAGCAGTTGATTTGGGGGCAGCTGAAAAAGGAACAGGGGTAACTGGAGCAGGTGATTTTCGGGCAGCTGAAAAAGGAGCAGGGGTAACTGGAGCAGGTGATTTTGGGGCAGCTGAAAAAGGAGCAGGTGATTTTGGGGTAGCTGAAAAAGGAGCAGGGGTAACTGGAGCAGGTGATTTTGGGGCAGTTGAAGTTGGCACAGGGGTCACTGCAACAGGTGATTTTTGGACTGAAGTTGGCACAGGAGGTGCTGGTGTGGATGAAACTGGGGTTGGTGATGCTTGGTTGAGTTTAATTAGAGGGGTGTCTTTTTCTTTAACAGACACTGGCGCGGAATCTTTCACAGGCTTTGGTGCAGTCACTGTAGCTGCTGGCTTATCTACAGATGTTTTCACCCCACTGTCTGCTCTGTAAACCACATATATAGAGAATGTAATTGAAAAAACATAAATCACTTGTTGCACCAGAAATAAAAACATTACTCAGGACTTACGGTTTTGTTGGTTTGGGCTCAGTCACAGAGGCATCAGATATGACAGGGGAGGGGGGGGGGAAGTTGGCATAGCCACTCTCATCATCATCACTAATCTCCACCCTGCACATTTGTAGCCAGGAACATGTGTGAGGTTTGATGTTCACACATTAAAACAGTTGTAGAAATATTTGATCATGCAATTGAATGTAGAAGGTTTTCTTTTGGCTTCAGGGGCAAAAATATTAGAAGAAACATTTACCTTTTAGCCACAAATGATGGGGTGCTGTTGGCTGAGGAGTTCACAGGTGAGTGTTCTTTAGACCTGAGGTTTTTCAAGACAGCCTTCATAAATTCTTACCATTTATAATAATGCAAGTGGGAAAAAAAACAGTTTCTCAACATGTAGTATTTTTTATGTAGCACATTTATTTTACTGTACAGGTTGAGTGTTAAGATTAGCCTCAGGACAGTGACATAAAACATACGTACTCGTATTTTTTAGCAGCAGAAAGCACATAAGACCGCTGCTTGGCTGCAGAGCTCTTCAGAACATTCCTGGCTGTCTCATTACTGTGAAATGAATCTACATTAATATCATGATAGGTCGTTCCTGCATGTGTGACTTGGATGGTGATATTTGTGTGAGAAAACTCTTACCGTTTCTCCTGCTCCTCATGGCTAAGCTGGTCCTCCTGGTTCTCTGAAGAGGACCTCAGTGTGTGGGGGGCTCTAAGGAACAGAAAAGCAAACGTATACCTCATAAAAATAAATTCTTACCGGCAGTTAACTGGGAATCTGATTTGTGCAAACTCACATTTTCTTGTATGCCTCTGAAGGCTTTTTGCTGACTTGGTTTGTTCCACTGTAAAAGAAAAACAATTTTATGTGGGAATCAGAGAGGTCAATCGAAGTACATCACTAATCACACTATTAACTTATTCAAGTATGAACTCTTACCCAAAGCTGTTTGATGTTGTGGGTGGAGTAGACTTGTCATCTAATTTAGTAAAAACACCTCTGAATAAAAAATGAAAAGTGTAAGTACATTTTCATACTTTTTTTATGTAGCCTATGGTTTTATTACAGTATATGTAAAATGGTAAAAAAGTGTGTACATCCAACACAGGTTGGGTGCAGATGCAAAACAAAATAAACTGTCCACACTGAAAAGAAGCAAGCTCCTAAAAATATTTTATTGCATATTGCAGTGTTTCAACCAATATAGTCTTTCTCAGATAAACTATTCTAGAATATGGGCTATGTTATAAAAACAAATTATAAAAAGTCCCATTCATTGCCATTTTTCAGTTGTGCTCAAAGGTCCCCCTCTGCCTTTGATTCAGGTTTTTAAATATTTGAGCCAGAAAGTGACTATAAACTCCAAATTATCCACATGCTAGTTGTTGTAAGTGTAAAGGTTTAGCTTATTCTTATTCAGTAAACACTGAAACAAAATGACAACAGACTGAGGTGCTCATGATAAGTCAAGTCTTACCTGATCAGGTATCCTGACTTTGGTGTTCTAAGGTCAGAACAGAGAACCGTCATCAGCACCATCATGTTTCATGGAAAATTTCAAAACATGGTAGATAAATTCATGACATTTAACACCTGCACTTACTTTTCAGTGTCAGACTTTGTGGGTGCTGGAGCGGATACCGGAGCGGATACCACTGGTGAAGACACTGGACTGCTCTCAAGAGGGGCGCCATTTGAATGGCTGGCGCTTACTTCTGCTATCCTGCATGGATACACAGAATCGTGGCTTTGTCTGGGCCGGTAACCGAGTAATGGAAAAAATACTCAAACTTTATTTAAACCTGTCGTTTACCGGGGTTTCTCCTCATCCTGAGTCTCATTGCGGTTTTGTAACCAGCTGCCATCTCCCTTCAATTTGGTTCGCACTTTAGTGTTACGAAGCACAGCTGCTCGGTCCCCATCTGAGACACAAACACGTGCATGTCACACTCCCACACACCATTTGAGATATTATACACACTGTAGGCTTTATCATAACAACATCCTAATCACCGTCTGCTTGGTATCAGTGTTGTCACAGCCCCCTTTGGGCTGATACTACATTATCAACCACTTGTATTTTGCAGCAAATCAGGGCAATGGCAGAATTTACAGTTAACAGCCTAGTACAGACACACACTGCTTTTATTAGAGGAGCATCATCATCTCACATTCAGTTCTAATCAGCCAGCCTGCTCACCCTTTGACATGCTTGTTCTAGAGGTTTCTCTCTCTGTGCTGTTTTCTTTACAGGCCACCTGAAAATCATAGTGGTACAAAATTGACAGAAATTGTGTTAAAAAAAAAACTATTTTAACAGCGAATTACAATTTATAATGACACAGTGAGTTTCAAAATGGTCCTCCCACCTATTATGTTCCCCATGATCTCCAGAGCAACATGCTCTGTAAAGCATTCCTCAAGTTTCATCATTTAAACATGCAGATCATCCTGTCTTACCACTTCCAAAAAGAATACTGAGTCATTTGATCATTGGCCATTGGATACAAAGTATACATTTATGTGACTGGGAAAACACTGCTTCCTTTCACACATATCCAAGAAAAGGAAAACACTGAGTGCTCTCTTATCTGAAAGAAGGCAGTAAATACAGTTTATGTAAAATTGATGTGAAATGCTGCCAAATTCAGAATCCAAACATAATTTGAAAAACTCCTGAAGCTGTGAATTCACTCCTCCTAAAACAACTCACCACAATATCTCTGGAGGATATTGTCCTGACTATTGGTGACAGAACAAACACACAGAGGGCTTGGAAAGCATATTTATCCTGGGTTTAACACACAAGAGGAATGATTAAAGAAAAGCAATAGCAGGACAGACAACTCTACTGACAAGCGCTGACAGGGAAACACCCAAAACAAGAATGAGAGCATTAACACTGATAGACACTTACAACAAACTTTATTCTTATAGCTACTGATTACTAGAGCTCTAAGAACAAAAAGATTCCATATAATATGATAAATTATGCGTAAATAACTTTGACACCTACCTGCTGTCAGTTTATATCCAGCAATGCAAAGTCCAGACAGTTCAGTTGAGATTCTGTGAGTGTGTCCGACTGAGTGTGGCTGGTGAGCAGAGCGAAAGTCTCTCTCTGTCTGACAGGTGTCTTGATCACTGAGCTAGTGAACAGGTACGGGCGTGAGCCTTAACAAGCTCAGCCAGTCAAGGAAACAGGTACATTGGGCGGAGCAGTACCCGTTTGTCTATGTGCATGAGTGTGTGATAACAGGTTCCTAAGAAGTCTCTCTTTTTTTTTTTTTGGTTTGTTTACTACATCTATGCTTTGTTCACAGAATTCAGCAAGTATACAGGTGGCCAACAACACTGAGCACAAGCAAGGCAAAGGGAAGGGGATGTTGATAAGTTGCACAGCATGGCATATATAAATGAAGTGACTCACTGCAATGTCTCCTTTGGGAACGCCCCTCTCATGCTCACTGGGTAGGAAAACCCACAAGCACACACATTAAAATTAGATCAAGAACTACGCACACAGCTGAGACAAACACACACACAGTTGTCCCTGTACAAACAACAATAATATATAATCTTAACATTGATATTTAATTTGAAACATTGATGTCTAATTTTATATTTTTTAAATAAAATTTAAGCTGAAAGCCCTGGCATTAACACTTGAAGGTCAATTTTTTACCTAGTTTTGGCAAAACTGGGCAAAAATCAATGACTTATTTCAACCTCGTGCAGTACATAATGCAGGTAGAAAGGCTGAGGAAAGCATATGATAAGCAAAATGAGTGACTGTGTCTATGTTTGTATAAGTGACAAGAAAAATCAGTCGGTGCTCCTGCAATCATCCAACATTTTCTCCAACAAAGAGTACTTTCAGAGCGATCGGCCACAGTGTGCACTCATTGAAAGCACAACATGGAGATCAACCTACCACTGTTTCTCTACAAAAACTATCTCACACATGCTGTTCATACATATGAAAAGCCTTTTCAGATCAGAAAAAAAGGGCATGAATAGACTTCACAATATGTCAGAGAGCAGTGAATGAGGAAATTAACAAGTCTATGAGCCAAAGTTCCAATCTGATGAGCACAATGCAAAGTGTAAACCTTTGGATCTGTTATCTACCTGGATCCCTCTCTCCCTAGAAACCAGTCCGACTGCCCTGCCTGGTGGCTCTGACTCTAGTGAATCATTAGGGTGCTGCTGGCAGAGTTAAAACGAGAATGCAAAGTATCTGAACTTAACCCCCACGTTGTTGATACCACACCAAGACATGGAATGACAAAAATGCTTCACCCAGAAAAGACAAACCTCTGTAGCATCTAATTAACATGGATACAGTGAAAATATGGAACTCTATTGTCTTCAGTTTCAAGTTTATATAATGTCTTCATCAAAATGACAAATGGGAAGGTGAGAGTAGGATTGTATGTTACAATGTATTACCATTGCCCATCCCACTATTGTGTTCGGGGACTGTACCTGAAGAGTAGTATATTCTAGTAGTTTGCTTCACTCATAGTAGCACATGCCATTCTAATGATATATCCAATACCAGGGTGACAGAGTTACTGCAGTATCGACATGGAGAATGGATTGCGTTTAGAGTGCGTGTGAATGAGGCATCTACAAACGCAAACTATGGCTGAATGTAAACACCAAACATTAGTCCCATATGAATGGGCTGTGAAATACTGAAACTGCTGCTGATCGCTGTATTCCTTCTGTCCATATTAGCCAATAAGAAAATTCAAATGTACAAAACGGTCCACATTCTGTGTTAAAATGCCTTCAAGTTAATATGAGATTTTGGCATCTTCTAAAGCTTCATTGAGTTTAGTGTAACATTTCCTCGTTTTGCTAAAACTCAGTATGTTTACCTATTTGGCATGTCTGACTGCTGAATCCTCTTATTAGCATTGGTTGTACTGCAGAATGTATTTTTACACTGAAATCACAGTAAGTGATCTCTTTAGGGCGGAGTGGATGGGAAGAACGGTTACAGAAATCAAACTGGTTAAACTATTTCAATGTTGGTGTGCGAGTTCTGCTTTAGAACAGACTTAAAACATAAACCTTTGCTTTACACTATGGGCAGTAATCTGCTGCTATGTAGAACAGCTAACACTCCTTTAGAAAAGGCGTTCTGCAACATTCTGAAAAACTGGCTGCAGGGATTTGACCCCATTCAGCTAAAACAGCAATAACAAGCTTGGCCACTGATGCTGTGTGATAAGGCCTTCCTAACAATCAGTGTTCTTTCACTCTGTGCAGGGAATCTGAGTTCTATTATTTCAATCTCTGAAAACTGTTTCTTTATGAACCTCACTTTAGCCCCTTTTCCACCATCTGGTACCAGCTGAACTCAACTTGCCTTATCTGTATTTCCATCAATCAGATGTTGGTGACAGTACCATTTTTGATATCACTTCTGTCAAGGTTCTAGGCGAGCAGAGGCGATACCAAACAGTGATGTGTAAACACTGCAGGCTAGCAACTGTTCAGAGAAATCGCATCAATGTGACTATGTAACTAAAAACAGCCACATACTGAGAATCAAGAACAGCAAACCTTCGATGTCCTCCATTGTTATTGTGTTGGATGCTGACAACATCATATCAGTGTAATGCAGTGTCGCTATGACAACCAGCTACAATGAGAGGGGACCATCTGCAGTGGAAAACCAAGCACCCAGTACCAAAAGCGAGTAGAGTCGAGTCAAACCGGTACCAGGCGATGGAACAAGGGCTTTAGTGTATGAGGCCAGTGCCCCGAACCAATGGTACACAAAAGTCTGTAGGCAGCGATGTCCACATACTCTTAGCAATATATTGTAATGCTAGTCACCATTTTAAACAATAATTTTAATACAGTGTATCAGAAGAACCATCATTCCATTCTCCTGATGAAATGTATCACCACATTTTGACATAAACAGAAGCATCCCAATGTGTGTAGATCACAGTTGCAAAATTTTGTAGTTTACACAGTGTTAAGGTCAGTATATGTGTTTTGATGCCCTGTGCCTTTACAAAAGTTGTAAAGCATTTACTGACAGTACTCTTAGACTGCAATGTGATGACCAACACCAGGAGCATCTGCTGCCATCTACTGGTGAAAATGGAACATAAGCATTGCAGAGACACATAAATGCTATACATAAGCATGGTTTGGATAAGGGTCTGATTCCTCATTTGGAATCGTGCATGCAGTGTGACCTGATCAACTTATTCTCATAACTTCTACTGACACACACAGCCTTACATTATTCACTGCACCATCAAGCTCCTTGTCTGAGATGAGGGTAGCTCTGCACGGTGCAGGTGAGCCCCTCCTTCAGACTGACTACTGGTTTGTAGCCCATGTCCTCTTTGGCACGTTCACAGCTGTAATAGTGGTGTGTTCCAGCCAGAGCCACTCTCATTGGAGTAAAGGTGGGTTTGAAGGACATAAGTGGACGCAGGATCAGGGCCAGCAGCCAGAGGAGCAGGGCCAGTCCATAGACGAGAATGTAGGGGAGGTGGTAGCGCGGAGCAGCATATCCCAGACCTACCAACACCTCAGACATGAAGTCCCAAAATCTAACTGGCTCATCATTAGTGATGTTGTATGGCTGAAAAATCAGAGGATATAAGAGTAAATGTTTAACTTGAAGTACAGAAGTACAGCATGATCCTGAAAGTATGTAACTAGCAACATGATTTCACAAACTGAATCATATAAACCAGAAATACGATGGGGTATCTCTCACTCACTTTTCCACATATGGGGGAGTCCGGTTTCAGACGTTCAGCAGCCAGGATGTGTCCGTGAACTACATTCTCCACAAAGGTGAAATCTACCAGGTTGGTCCCATCACTGCAACAAACGGAATAAACACATCTCTATGGGGGAACAAAAAAACATGGACAAATAAGCTATGTTTGACAATGACGATACCTGAAATCCTACCTGGCATGTTCGAGCCAGAATATGGAAGTGCACAGCATGACAAACCACAACATTAATTAATATGAATTTCTCCTCCATAGATACAGTAGGTAAACAATGGTATATATAGTGATGAAAGAACATGTGTAACACTCTAATCAAAGCGGGTGATTGAGAAACCCCATAGTTTAACTGGCATAATGCAGACACAGTAACTTCTCCAGCATTACAACAATTCTCTACAGAAACAAGGCATTAACAGACAAGCGATGTTTTTTTTTTTTTTTTAAACTTACCGTTAAGACCCACCGAGAAGTGGAAACATTGCTCCCTTTCAAGTAGCTCCAAGGTCGGTAAATCCAGTTGAAATGGCATCAATCATTCTTACCCTAAGACTTACCCAATGATGAACTTCATCTTTCCACAGCGAGCCGAGTCCACCAGAATAGGAACCAGCTGTGGGTCTCGAGGGCCAAAGATCCCGTGGGGCCGGATGGCAACTGTCAGGAAACCCTTCTCTTTGTCACAAGCCCTGAGGACCAACTAAAACAAGACACAAATATACTCTTTGTTCCCTTCTCTCTGATACGTGTGACTGATTGTGAAGGGCAATGCACACATAACATGCAAATTAGGAGGAGGAGGAGCTGGGTTCAGTACATCACAGGGCTAACACAGACACATGCCCACTGTGTCACAAAGTCAGACTGACCTAGGTTTGGAGGAGGACACCCATACTAAAATAGAGAACCCATGCAGACTCCATTTATAAAGCAGTCCAATAGTCTTATTTTGTGGCACTGGTGGCAACCGCCACACCATACTGATAATGATACAATATAGTCAAATTGAAAATTTGACTCTACTACCTTCTCCTGCTCAATCTTGGTCTGTGTGTAGTAGTCAATGGGCTTCTTGGCATATGGCAGATCCTCTCTCCCATTCTTAATGTCTTTCCCTTCAAACACCACACTGGCACTGCTAGTCAGGACCAATCTCTAGCCAAAACAAACAGTTTCAACATTTTAATGAACAGTAAATGTTAAACATAAAGTAATGAAAAGCTCAGTCTCTCATCCCCTGGCTACTCACCTCCACTCCAGCCTCGATGCAGGCCTGTATAACGGTGCGTGTGCCCTGGATGTTGACCCTCTCAAACAGAGCACAGTTATCGCTGCCAGGGGGTGGGGAGGCACAGTGAAAGACCAGAGACACATCCTTCAGCGCTGGCAACAAAGCCTGAGGCAGAATGTGACAGTTGCATCAAAACAATGAGTAGTCCAGGCCAGAGCTCCTCTTTCTGGATCATGTGCTTATTTGCAAAATACAAATCAGTTGTAGGCATTATCTAGTCCATAAAGTGACATGGCATTTGAATGTTTTCTACTCAAAACCAAGCTCTTTTTTTTTTTTTTTTTTACAAAGACGACATCAAAAACTTTAACGACGTAGGCCTGATAATCAAACAATCAAGTCTGGCCTACTTGTCTCTGCCTTACTTTATTATTTTTCATTGTTTCACCAGGTCAAGACATAAGACTTAAAGGTTTCTGGTTTAGCGTTTAGAAAGTCAACTCTCCATTTTAATAACTTTCCTTGCCTTTGCGCTGGTCTAGATCGAGCCTGAGAGGAACAGTCTCACCTGTTTGTCGCAGAGGTCTCCCTGGTGGAAGTTGACAACAGGCAGCTCACGGCTCTGAAGGATGTCAAACACAGAAACGGAGTAGCCTCGATCCAGCAGCTTCTCCACGAGGTGTGTGCCCAGGAAGCCACACCCCCCGATGACTGCACATCGCTTATTACGCTGTTTAAGATGCAGAAAACATAGCATTTTAGGCAAACCGACAGCACTACAGCACCGTGTTAGCTTAAAACAGATTTGCACAGAAATGCTTTAACTCACCGGTCGAACACGCGTGGCCATGAGAGAAATGTGACCAACAGGTGAGCGAAAGTTACAAGAGTTGACAGGTACTGTGGTGAGAATATTTGTCCTTACGAGTACAATATGGTCAATCACGAAAAGTGCTTCTGAATTATTAATACACAGGGAAGAAACGCGACACCTAGAAGCACGCTTAACTAAGTCAGCGTGTTTAACTAACTCCTCTACAAACCATGAACTGTATGAATCAGCTGAGTGAGAACTACTCTGTGATTGGTTGAGTTAATGATCAGAACGAGGGCGACGTTTACGAACAGCCAATGATGTTCAGAATACGTCAAAGAACGCCACAATTTGAACCAATCGGAAATCAGAAGATGATTGTTCCCGCCTCCTAGCCCAAAGACCACTCTCCCGAAGTTCATAGACCTCGGACGTGTTATAAGAAAGAAGAGTCGGTGTGAAACGCGTTGTATTTCATTAAATCAATTTAATGTAAAAAAAAAAACGGTAGCATCGTCAGAATTAACGTTTTTTATGAACAGACTCCCTTCCCATTTCGTTATTTATTTCGCCTGTTGTTATTCTGGCAAAGCGATTAAACCGATTTTCAGTCAGATTTCTGACGAATACAAAAGTACAAATGAAGGAGAAACGTATTCTACAACAAAAGGCTCTACAGTAAGAAAGGCCTAATGGCAAGGTGAAACACTACTATATAAAGAGCAGAAATGACTATCTCCTTGGTTTACTGAGGGTATGGCAGGCCGCCCACATCGTGCAATAGATTACTGTGCACGTTGATGTTTCATAATAAGTGGTTTCTTAAAAAGTGACAACGGCTACAGAAGCTATGTGTGTTAACTGCACATGATAGATATCTTATTTTTTATGTACTTTTCTTCGTGTTACTACTATTCTCTATGAGCGACTCCTATCTTTGTCATCTTTTTGCATTTAGACATAAGACAAAGCCATAAGCTTGTTAAATTCTATTCCAGTATTATATTTGTATGAGCAGCACTCTCTGCTGCTCTAAATTTGCTAATCGTGTCTTGGGCCCCGTGACTCTCAACAACCAATCATCTTTTTGCCCGACTGGTGTGTTTGGTTTTAACTCCCTTTCGTGCCGTCAGCCTTATGCTGACGTAACTCCTCAATGGGCTTAAAGCGATGGGCGTCCTTGCTGGAACAAAGAGTAGACAAATCAAACATCTAGACTCCATAACAGCGTCTGCTGGGCAGCAAAACCTGATCGCTAGAAACGCTGTTTTTCTGCATTTTTAGCAGCCGTTCCTGTAAAATAAACAGGAGGTTTTGCGGAATAAGAGGTTATTGTGCATTCGGTGTAATTACACAGTTCATGCGAGCGACTGATGTAAAGCAGAAACGGTTATATGATCCCCTCCTCCCTAAATGACAAGGAGGCTGCATAGCCCAGAGGAAAACATTGATTGCATAAAAGACCTGCAGTTCCTGTTGCCAAACTAATATTGATGGTGAGTGGAAAAAAATCTTATAATCTATATGTCTGTTAATTTTAGGCTGTTGCCTAGGTGATGCATAATTACATCATTCCATATTTGTGAAGACCTGTTTATTTTTTCCAAGTTAAAGGACATATAACATTTACCACCAAGAAATCTGTCATATCTCATCATAGACGTGACTCTTTTAAGCAGCTGATTTTTCTGCTGGCTTCCCTCTCATGTCCCCACAAGGCTACCAGTGCCAAGAGACCTTCCCTGCAGGGTCCGGTGCCCCCCCCTCGCAAGAAGACGGCCCCCAAACCAGAGCTGACTGAGGAGCAGAAGCAGGAGATCAGGGAGGCATTTGAGCTGTTTGACACTGATGGTTCTGGATACATCGATGTCAAAGAGCTCAAGGTAAAAGAGCTCAAACACTGATCACAATCAGTGTGTGTCAGTTGCCTCCCTGTTCCGTAGCCTAACATTTATAATTTCCTGTATGCTTGACTTTTCTAACACTGCACCAGGTTGCGATGAGAGCTCTGGGGTTTGAACCAAAGAAAGAAGAGATCAAGAAGATGACTGGTGAAGTGGATAGGGATGGCACAGGGAAGATCTCCTTTACTGACTTCCTTACTGTCATGACACAGAAAATGGTAGGTATCTATGTCAGAGTTTATTCTTTAGGTGCACTGTCCCACTGCTTGAAACGTCAACAGTCTTGAATTTTTCATTAAATTAACCTCTGGCTTTGTCCTATGCACAGACTCTGGCCACATTTCTTGGAGTTGTTGGTGTAGTTACTGTGTTGTCTTTTTGAGTACTATTGCAACATGATAGTTTATAATAATACACATCTTCTCTCCAATGTAGGCTGAGAAGGACTCCAAAGAGGAGATCCTGAAAGCTTTCCGCCTTTTTGATGATGACGAGACTGGCAAGATCTCATTCAAGAATCTGAAGAGAGTAGCCAAAGAACTTGGAGAGAACCTCACAGATGAAGAGCTGCAGGTATCACATTATGTCATATATGTGAACAATGACGCTTGACCAATCAAAGCAGACTACTATGACTTACAAGCTGGTTGTGTTTGCAAAGCCAAAGATCGAATGCAACCAAAGACTGCAATTTTGTATAATGTCAACATATGCTAGCAAACTAACTTGATTTGCTTGTTCCAGCCCTTAGTTTTTCTTTTCATTTCCTCTTCAATTGTGTGTTTCTGAAGGAAATGATAGATGAAGCAGACAGGGATGGGGATGGAGAAGTGAACCAGCAGGAGTTCCTGCGCATTATGAAGAAAACGTGCCTGTACTAAAAGAGGTGCTTGACATAAGGGTTGGTGATACAGTGTCAAGGCGAGCAGTGGTGGTGTAATACTGCTCCCATTATCTAGTTCTCTCTTGATGCCATACATTTTTACTTGTGTCAATCAAAAGTTGTAGTCACATACTGCAATGTAAAACTTGTACCAAAAGTTTGGTCAGATGCTAAATTCTCCTCATTTGATTTACATGATAATCTACACTTGCCAAACACAGTAAGAGATGTTTGAAATGCTGCAAACTTTTATGAAGAATACAGTGAAATTAATATGTAAGTTACTGTCAAGAAATTTCTCAGTGCCTGCCTCAGTAGTGTGACAAAGTATATTTCAATGTTTTGTTTGACAGCAGTTTGTGTATTATATCTGCACAGTGTTTGATTTACCACAGGCAGTTCCAGTTTCCTCTTGTATGCTGGTTTTCCATAAATGCTTGTAATGTGAGCAGTTTCTTAACCGCTGGTAACAGTGAAAGTACATTCTCACTTCAGTACTACCTGTAGATTTGTGCCTGTGCCTCTTCATGGGGTGATCATCAGGGAAGCTGCCTGACCCCTCTGACCTGTACACCTTCCCTTGCCCACTATCTTTAAAATAAGATTGATTGTAGATATATTCTTGTAGCATCAAGTGTTTATCTTTCTGTTGTTTGTTTGCACCTGTGTAAATGTTTGCTATAATATATGGTAACTTAAGTACATATACAGCATATTAGTATTTAAAATGCAAATTAAATATCCTTAAGCAGTTTGATTTGTTCTTTAAGCTATTATACACTTCCTTTATAAAGTATTATCAGTGAACAGCTTGGCCGTCTTTTACCTTTTAAAAACTTAGGTTTCATTGTGCTAACATTGTTTGCATTTGAAAACCAATTAACAGGGAGGTTCTTCTGCCTTACCGCAGCATACTGACTCAGCTTTCCAACCTTACCGTTTCAACAACCAAGCAAATTCAAAGCATGGTGTAATGAATGTCTTGCCGTGCTGAACTGGAAGATATTGTTCTTCTTGTTCAGACAGCTCCTTAAACAAATTCTGCTCAGACCTTATGGCTAAGTTCAGTTGTTTACTTTGTTCTCGTTATATCTTTTACTGCAGCTCCCGTGATCAGTAGTCATAGACCAGAAGTACTGTATGACTGACATACCAAGATTGTACATGATGGTGAGAGCTAGATCAACAGCATCACTGTGCGGGCAGCCAGAGATGATAGCTGAGCATGACCACATGAACTGAAAAGGGTCAGTGCAGGCTGGAGAGCTAGGAGGAGGGGCATTGTTGTCATATTGCAGTGGATATCCATGACATGAAGCACCCTTTGATCTGCTGCCCATTGTTTAAGTTGCTATACAGTCTTTAACAATTAGCTAAGCCTAAAATAACAGCTAAAATTACTTTTACCTCATGCCAAGGTGCAATGCACCCTCATGTTTCAGAGTTGCTCTTTGTCGAGCATTTCCAGTGCGACATGGTAAGGCAGCCACACGATCTAACTGGTTTCATTTCTAGTGCTGACTCAACCCAATCTTATGTGCCACTTTACTTGGTTTCATGCCAGTGTGTCAGACCTCAAGCTGAAAATCTCCTCATGAGCACTGAATTAGTCAGCAGCTAGTGTTTGTTATAGGATATACCATTTACTTATTGATACAAAGGTCAGGCATAATAATACATCTGTACAGAACTGGATAATATTTGTCATTATTTGCTTAAGAGAAACCTGGGAAGCAAAAGCAATTTCATTTACCAACCCACATTGCCATATTTCTGCAAAATATTTACACCGATGGTTAAAACATGGACAAATAAAGAAAAAGAAAGAAGTTCTATTTCAGAAAGCCATTTTGCAACCCAAATTTTCCCTTTGTGCAGAAAAACCTAAGCAGATTATGCCACTACTACTACTGAAATGGAACCTATGCATCTATGATTGTCATTTATGACAAAAACTGACTCGCAAAAAACATATTCTGTGCCAATTATAAACAAAGAATTTAACTAAAATTAGGGCCTAAATATTCTGGAATAATTTTTTTGTACATAACTTGACAGTTTGCAAATGTATGCATTATGCCAGAAGTTCTTGGAAGGTATATAGTCACAATTTTAAACTTTATTCATAAAGTTCATAAAAGCAAAATAAAACTAGTTAAAAATACGGAACTAATCATCTTTACCTAGATATTGTTACAATGCCAGATACTTAAGACCTCAGGTATTAATGACGAGATATTGATTTAACTGTCTGACACTGGCTCATCTACACATAAACCAAACAATGAACACAGACGCACTTAAGAACACAAACATACTGCTTAGGCTCAGCTTTTCTAATTGATATAGAAAGTACAAGAAAAACATAACAATGAATTGAATATTAATAATCACAGCTTCTCACTGATTCAAGTCTAGCTGACAGGCATTTCAGAATGTGGAAAGTTTTCTGAGACTGTACTAGGATTCCCAGCTCTGATTTAGTTTAGTCTTGGAGGCAAAGTCTGCACTAAGTTTACGCATCACCTCTGCGTGGCTTTGTCCTGCTAGCTCCTGTTGTACAGATCTGTAATTATTTTTGACAAAGTTGGCAAAAGGTGTGGGAGCACGTGGCTTGGAAGGTGTCAGTAAAGTGAGCTGTCCCTTGCAGAGAGCACACACAAACCTCTGCATGTCCAGTGACTTGGAATGACGGCCGATCCTGTGAAGAATCACATTAAGTGTTAGGAATTGCCCAGTGGAAATGAACAAACATGACTGTAAAATGCAAGAGGAATAACAGAAAATGATGTGAAGCTAACGACTGAATTTAATCTGACGTACGTATTCTGGCAGCGGGTGCACTGGTAATTAAATTTGTAATTGATGTCGTAACTGTGGCAGCGAGTGACCATAGGCAGCTCAGGATGCGCCAGTGTGGCCTTGCGGGCGTAAAGCTTCCAGACAGTTCCGTGCCCATCCCTTACACCGTTAATCAGCCATGTTGCAGCGTGACACATCTCATGAATTAGTGTGTCCCTGAGTCGATCTGAGGGGGGGAGGACAGTAAAACTCAAATAATCACATATATACTAATGTAAAAATTTTACTAAGCATGACAGTACCCATTTATGTTTAGGAACAGTCAAGCAATTTATTGCTTTAGTCTGGCTTTCTAAAGTATTACCTGCAGAATCACAGACTTTCTCTGACAGTTCAATGCGGGCATAACGGCTGCCTTCACCTCGCTCCTGCCCCGTGACACAGTAACCAGCTGTTTTTCGCATCTTCTTATTCCAAGTCACCGACATATTGACAGGGAGCTAGAAAAGTCATGTCAGACAAGGAAACAGAAAACACAATGTTAGTGAAGAAAAAAGAAGTTTAAAAATCTTTATACTTTGAAAATGTGATATTTCTAAAATATGTTAATAAAACAAGGGGGGGAAATTGTTCATCACCTTACTGTCAAACACACTAGTATTGTACAACTGGTAGAGTTGGCTAGTGAGGTCTTCCTTGATCCGCTTAAAATTGTGGCCATAGCTGGAGCCAGAGCTTGGTAAGGACTGCAAGAAGCAGCCTGGGGTCTTGCATAATGCTAACCTACAGGGTAAAGTAAGGAAAAATATCAGTGCATAAAAGACAAACTGAATGAGTGACAAAGATAAATGTTGCTCAGGGGACATTATACAATAAATCGTTAAAAATGCTGAAATGTTTAATGGCTGTAGATAAAAACCTCAACTCATGTACCTGGAGACAGGGCCATGCCTAGGTTCTGTTTGACTGACCATAGGCTTTACAATGGTAGATTTCCCTGGTGTCTTCACATGCAGAGGCTTTTCTCTTAATGGTTTAGTAGCTGGTGTTGTGAACCCTTTTACAGGAGGAACTGACACAGGAGGCTCCTTACTACATTCTAGATTTAAGAACAAAAAACAAGCTTCAGTCTCAAGACTGGAATGAAAATTAAAGCTAGTGTGTTGGAAGATGACAATCAAAATAAAGCAGTAACCTCTGTTGTTGCTCGGTACGAATAAAGTGGCAGTGAAGGTGCTTTTCATTTTCAGTCTGTCCAGTAGGGAAGATAACTCATCCTCAGAACTGGCCGATTCATCCAGCTTAGAAGGTGCTGAAAGAATGCGCTTAGGAGAGCGCAGTGATGTTGGAGCTTTGTAAGGAGGAAGAGAAAAAGGAGATGGTATGGGAAGGAAAGACGGTGATCCGTCACCTTCATCGCACAGCTGAGCATTAATCTTGTTAGTTTTCAGCAGGGGCTTAGGTTGTGAGTGACGAGTTTTCCAGGAGCTCCTGACCACAATATTATCACCATCATCATCATCATCACTGTCACTAACAAAGACTGGGGAGTCACACTGAGACAGTGGTGTCCTCGGTGGATGCTTGGGTGCCACAGTATTGCTCTTTTTAGGCACTGCAAAATAGTGGTACAAAAATATAGGTTAGTGTTTTTCTTTGCAATTAACAGCACATCAGTACTGCTAAGGGCATTTGTGTTTACCTTTAAAAGATGATTTAGCTTCAATAAAGTCATCACCTGATGAGTAGTCATCCACTATGAAGTTTTTGAGACTTTAAGATAAACACAGATAAAACAGGTAATGTTAAAAACATTTTCTGGATGGAGATAATGCATTAGAAGGAAAAAAGACAGAAACTCACCCATCTTCACTGCCACTCCCTATTTTCTTAGGCTTGGAAATAGGGGTTTTCATTTGTTGCAGAACTTAAATATGCAAAAGAATAATATAAGCAAATAACCCACAGCATATAAATATTTTCCCAACAACAAACCAACTTAATTATTGTCAGCAGTTACAAATACAGACAACTGTATCCAACAGAAAAAGGCCACTTACATGTCTCAAAATTGTTATCATCATCTGAACTCACCACAAGAATATCTGATCTAAGAAAAAGAGTTTTAAAGGTAATATGATGTTCAGCACTTTGGTGAGACAAATTAGAAGTCAAATTGAAACACCTTCAGTACACTCACTCATTTTCATATCGGTCTTTCTTTGCAGTGCTACGTGGTTTTTGTAAGGTAGGTTTAACCTTCGGTGTAGCCCTCCACACAAGAACTAGGAAATAAAAAGATAAAATGACCAAGTGACTTTGCATAGAGCGCCACACAATTTAACAATTTAATTCACTCACACTGGTCAATGTCATCATCACTTGACTCAGTCAAAGCCTGGTCTCTGTAATGTTTGCCCTTGGAGCACTGGTTTTCCTTCTCCGGATCGTCCTCACTTTCAGAGAGGCCAGGGTCAACTGGCAAAGCTGATCGATCCTCAAGTCGCTGACAACTTGTGGCAAGATGACGTGTTTTGCCAATTAAGCTTCTTAGCTAGAAACAGTGAAAGCAGAGAGATCGCCACACATTCTTGATTATCCATTGATCATTTTGTCTATGGAATGTCAGAAATGAGAGAAAAATTCCTTTTGGAGTTTACAACAACTCATGTTTATATATTCAATTTACTATTTTTATTTGAGGCAGTCCAAAATATATGCAGTTCAATATGATACAGTATGTGACAAAGAAAAGCACATTTAAACATCCAGAACCCAAATGTTTTGCATAAAAAATACTAAAGTGAATAATTCATTAACCAGGTACTTATCTCAGTCAATTAACTCAGTTATCAACTTATTTTTGCAATTATGCGTTACATTTAAATAGTTTTAAACTGTTCCTCCTTCCAATAAACCAATTATTAGTTGGTGTACTTAGTTTACAAGTTATTACACTTTAGGAAAATAAAGTGCCCATGATGGTAACTTGCTTCTGTCTAGGTTACTGAAGCATGCAACAAACCTTCCTTTCAGCTGCGTCCAGTCCTCCTTCATCAGCCCACCCCATTTTTTTACCAACTCTTTCAAATAATTTGCAAGTATCATCATCCATGGTTTCCTCTACTCTGTGAAAATAAAACAGACAGCCATTTAACATTTAAAGTCCAGCAGTAACGTCAATACTATGATATAAATGTGAATAAACTCATAAAGCAAGGTTTGTTATTATTTTAAAATAACTATTTTCATTAAACTAAGTCTTCTTAATCAATAAAAGGCTCGAAAGTCACAGAGTCAGACAGCGTACTTGAAGCGTTACCGTTACCTGCTTTGTTGCTAATGCTAACTCTATGCTTGGATTCATGCAAATTCAATGTTTTACGTTAGGATATATAACACAAACCCCCATCAAATATGAACAATATCGCTTAAAATGTATTATTCGTGAGATATAACTACCAAATACTCATCTGCTGTCGAAAATGAGAGAGAGACCTTGGATAGCCAAAACTCAGCAAACAAACGGAAATTCAAATCCTGTACTTCTTTATACCGGAAGTTGTCACTAAGAAAGCCGGCCAATCGGAGGACACTCCAATAATACACGTCAGCGTTCTATTCACGCCCACCATATGTTAAGAATCCCATAACCACTTTGAAAACTATATAGTTGCTGATGAAACTAGTGTTTAATTAAAATAAGCACAACGAACTAGAATAAAATGCTGCAACCACAATGTATTAAATGATCTGTGGCTGCAACACAATGCATTATATGAAGTCGGTGCTTCTACGAAGATTAACATATTCTCGAGCATAACTTTAAAAAGGATTATTTACTCGTAATTTTGACAAATTTGTATTTCTATGTTTCCTTAAATAAAAGATTTGAATACATGGTCTTTTTTCCGTTGGTGGAAGAAGTAATCAGATTGTTTACTTAAGCAAAAGTAGCAATACCACTGTGTAAAAATACTATAAGTTCTACATTCGAATTATTACTTAAGTACAAAAGTATTAGCATAAAATATATTTAAACAAGTTATTAAATGGGTAAAAAGTACATTGTTTTTCTGTAAAATTTAGTAAGTATGAAGTAGCAGAAAATGAAACTACTCAAGTACAGATACCTCAAAGCTGTATTTAAGTACAGCACTTGAGTAACTTACTCTTAACCTCTGCTTTTATATATAACTAACATACTAAAGAGTAAAGCAGCTGTTGAAATATCTTAATTCACTTGGAGAGTAAATGTACCTAGCAAATAACAATGACAAACATATGGTTTATGCACAAGGTATCATTTGGCATTGGCTCTAGTTTATATAAACACCACTATCAAGACAAATCATAGATTAACCAGTCATCAATATCATTAACATTTTTGTTACTACCAACAACTGAGTCACAGCAGCACAGAGATTTGCCATCTCTTTATTGTTTATCATAGAGAGCCTTGTGGAATCATTGACAGCATACAGTTAACAGACCATACAAAAACAAAAACTGCTTAAAAAAAAAAATACTTACCCGTTCCCTGAATGATTAAAATCAAGGTCAATCTAAACAGTCGACATTTAAACTTAAATTCTGTCCAAAACCAGTGACTAGAAAACACCTTTTTCCCCAATCATTTTTACAAATATAGTGTGACAAACAGGACAACAGCCACTGAACATACTCCTTGATCAAGAACAAAATTAATAAGAGTTGGCATTTGGTGAAGATGTCTTCATCTAGACCATATTCGTCAAAACGTGCACATCTAGTCAACATAGTCATTTATTAACAGCTAAAGAAACAAAAAAGCAGCTGCAATCAGTTTTACAAGTGCATTAAAGCCGATGAAACCTAACTCAGGGTTACAACACTGTCCTTGCAAAAAAAACACCAAAAAAAAAAAAAAAAAAACCAAAACAAACAAACAAAAAAAAAAGCAAAACAAAAAAAAAAATCAATCCCCTCTTAATCCATTTATAAATAGATCAAGTACTGACAGATGGGCATTTTGTCCACAAGCTGCAATATGTCCTGTATACACACTGATGGGAGCAGTACTGAAGGAGTAGCAAGGTGTTCACGATCCTCTCGTGCTCGGCCAAGTATATTGGGCTTTAGGAAGACTTCCCGGCTCTCAGAGGAGGAGCCTGGAAGTCATTAGCCTATATCTGGGTCAGGAAATGGAGGTGCAGGTGTGTGATGTAACAATGAATGTGATTGGGGGACAAATGTGTGCATCTGTAGGCTCCTTTACAAATAAAGAGTCCCATTAATAGTAAATGAGAGAGAGAGAGAGGGAGACAATCTTTCAGGTAAAGGGCTGGAGTGGAAACTCACCACTCAAGGTAGAGTACTGCAAAGACACATGGATGTTGGTGTATAGGCAGAAAATAAAATCATCATGTTTCCAGTTCAGGCATTTTCACTGGTCTCAACTGTCTGGAATTTGACCAAGTGTTCTGGCTTGTTGCCATTGCTATGATGCTCCCACATCTGCAGATAGAGCCTCTCCAGGTCAGTTGTGTACAGCTTGGTGTTGAACAGAGGGCTGCAGATTCGCTGCTTCCAAACACGTGCTCTGATCATCTTCAGGCTGAAGGAGGAGGGGAAAAAAGGTTTAACAACAGAAAAGACTTTTTTGTTTGTTTGTTTGATCATATTCTACTTACTATTCCATGTCAGAGCCCAGTTTGACTGCTATGTCCTCATAGTCCTGGCGAGTTTGGGCTATTAGTTCAGGGCAGCCCAGACAGCTGAGTTGGGAGGCAGCCACACGGGAAGCAAGGGTCTCACCTTTACAAAAATATTTAAAAATTAAATAGCAGCCCTCACTTATGTGTTGGGGTTTTTTATATTTTAATCAAAAGAAATCTAAACTGTTTAAACTGTTGTATTGTATGGTTTTATTTTCTGTGTAAAGACTTTTATTCAATTAATAACAAATAGGTTTTAAGTTGTTCCCTTACAACCCTAGAGTCCTCACCTGGCATAGTAACCATAGGTGTTCCAGCCCAGAGAACATCCATGCCTGTGGTGTGACCATTGCACAGAGGAGTGTCTAGGCATACGTCGGCCAGCTGGCCCCGTCTCACATGCTCCTCCTTTGGGGCTACAGGAGAGAAGATGATGCGAGAACCAGGCAGACCCATGCCCTGAGCGTACTGCTGGATGTTGGGCTCACCCACAGCAGGAAAGCGCAGAAGCCACAATACACTGTTGGGCACACGCTTCAGGATCTGCATCAAGAGGTGAGTTTTAAAACTTTAGAAATAAAGTAGCCATTAATTTAAGCGCACAATTGGAGCAACAGAGCTGACATAACCAAGTCTGTCAAACTTACATTTGCCCACATCTGAAGAGTAGGGGGGTCAATCTTGTAGAGCTGGTTAAAGTTGCAGTAAACTATTGAGTCCTCTGGAAGGCCATACTGGGAGCGGGTTGTCACAACGATTGTACGTGGCACCTCCTCCCCAGTGGCAGCCTTGTTATTAATCTGAAATGGGGGGCCAAAAGTGTTTAAGGACACTGTTCCTCAGTGTTTTTGTTCATAAGTATTACCAACTGTGACAGTCTTGTTTAAACCAGTTGGCAGTAATATACTGTTTGAAAAGCATAAAAAGGGTTAATTTTAAACTGGTGCCACCATTTCCTTCACCCAAAACTCTGCATTTCTGCCTTACTTTCATGAGGATGCAATCTCAGAAACTACAACCTCATCTGCTGAAATGATGTGGAAAAGCAGCAAGCTAAATTAAACAGCTACTCTTGCCTATGTTTTTGGATTAACAGATTCTTAGTGCCCATGACATAGCACTCAATATTTGCACTTATATTGATGAGTGTTTCCAAGTTAGGACATACCTGTGTGGTAGCCAGGCCATTGCTGACAGTGAAGCCATTGATTGTGACCTGGATTTGGCCTTGGTTGATCATGTTGATGACTGCTTCAGCTGCTGTGTTCATGGGAATTACGGGCATTGACAGAGCTCCATTTGTCTCCACAGCAGCTTCCTGGTTGCTGTCACACTTCATCTGGTCAGACAGTTAAATTTTCAGTGCTTGAATATGGTTCAATGTCAAATCATTCCAGTGTTTGGTTAAATATTCTGATTTTACCACTGAAATTCTCATCTCAATAAGATCTTTGCTAAAATGTTCTTGTCATCATAAACCAATCAAAAAATGTCAGTGATTTATTGTCTCATTCTGCTATTATTGTGATTCAAACTATATAAACCAAGTAAATACTGCCACCTACAGAGGCCAAAACTCAGCTACTGTCCTACTCACACTGAACTCACTGGTTTGTCAGTAATACACGTAAAACAATGCAGTTCCCTCAAGGCTCAGAAAGCTATTTTAACTCACCTTTATCACCTTGACATCTGGCAGACTGTCCAAGAAAGCCTTCAGATCAATACCATTAAGAACAATGCGGTTGTCAAAGATGTGTCCATTAGACTTGAAATCAATCACTGCCTTTTTCTGTTGGTCAGAAATAAAAACGCCCTGATTGTACTGATGCTTTTTCTTTAAACTTCACTTTTTTGAAACAAAAGGCAGCAATGTGATGATGGACAAACCTTGAGATGAGGAAACATGTTGGCATGGTCTCCAATGAAGAAAGTATTCGGCATGTAGGCAAGTTTCTCAGAATACTGCTCAGCTACCTCCCTAGGTGATGTCTCCTTGTCAGTGATGATGTAGTCCATGAAGGGAGCCCCACTAGTTCCTGGGTAACCCAGCCACATAGCCTGTGCAAAGGACAATTTACTATATTCTCCTATTAACAGAAATCAGGTAGGCCATACTGGGAGCAGGCTGCCACATGCAGAGTTTACCTGGATAGGGGCAGGACGGAGGGCAAACAGTTCATTTCGGGCTCCCTTGGTGTAGCCATTCATATTGACCAAAATGTGGATTCCATCCTGGTGAATACGATCAGCTGCCTTGCCATTGCAAGGGATCTGGAGGGATAAGACAACAGCTTCATTAAAAGTTGTTTTTGAAGTTATTTACAACACCGCCTTTGTTGAACTGACCAGTAGACACCAATAGATATTACGTAGAGGCATTAAGCAACTCCAGGTGGTAACAGTTACCTGCGACAGGTCTGTAAAATGATGAGCCTCTGCTACCACTTTCACACGGAAGTTGGTACTATCATCGGGGCTGAGGGCATAGCAGAACACCTGAGGGGGAAAACAAATGTACAGACTTGTCAACCCCCAGTATCAGTTACAGGAAAGACCACACATCAACACAATATTCTCACCTCAAATTTCTCAGGATTGTGCATTCCAGGTATGGACTGCATCAGGTGGGAAGTCGGGTGGTTGCCAAAGTCAGAGCTGACATAGCCAACACGCAGACGTCCACCACTGGCCTTCAGATCTTTCGGATGCTCATAAGTAGGTTTGTGCAGTGCATTGATCTGTGGAATAAATACAGCCACAGCAAAGAGAGCCAGTTCTAGTTTGGCCAAGTTCCAGCAACTAATAGTGAATCCAAAAAAAAAAAAAAAATGGGTAAATCCTTAATCATGTCCCCATACTATCACCACTGCAAGCAATCACATTCACCTCTTTCAAAGTAAAACATATACAGTATTTTGCCCATCCCTTACCTTCCCCTTATCCCCGCAGACAAACACTGCCATCACCAGCCAACTTCCAGCAACCAAAAAATAAAAAATAAATAATTTAAAGTTTTACTTGCTTTGATCACTGAGTATACCTTGTCCAGGCAAAGGTTTCCATGGCGCTCAGCAATGGCCTTGCGGAAGCTATGAGAGAGTGGGTACAGCATGCTGTGGTGTGGGTGCACCGAAGGCAAGCGATTCTTGTCCAGCTGGTCAGCTACAATACTGACAAGCTTCTTCATCCGCTCATCATAATCTGTCCAGTCACACACAATCTAAGAGTTCCAGAAATGAAAAGTTAGAAGATGTGCCTCTAATTTAACAGAAAATTTTTTTTTGCACATACTGTAAATATTTGAAAAATATAAGAGGATGTAAGAACCTGAAGGCAATGTGCCAAATTGCAATACGCATCAGGGAAGTCTGGCTTAAGTTTCAAGGCTGTGCGGTAAGATGCAATGGCCTCTGGGATGTTTCCAGAATCCTAATAGTCAAGAGAAACATAATCCAAAATTTAAAAGATTGACAGTGCAAAAAAAAGTTGTTAAAGTCCTGGTAAAGTAGAAATAAATGTGTTATGAGTTTGTCACACCGCAGGAAAAATCCGTTATTAACCACCCAACCAAATTTGAATAATTAAAAAGATCAAGTATATAAAATTAGCTCTCAAAGTTGGGAAAAAATAAGGAGTATTCTCTGCTCTTAAACGCTGGGGGCATGTCAGGTGAAGACATTGAAACCACGCCCAATTGTGGAAATGTGCTGCCTTTTCTCATCCTAGATGTATTGTATTAAAGGAGAACGTGTAGGAAATACGAGTTTGTGGAGCAAAGGCATAACTAGCTAGCTGGCAAACTGTAGGGTGTAGTAATTCACAAAGAAACAGGAGAACTTGTTCAGACCTACCCCAACACATTCATTGTTGTGCTTCTACTTTTGTCACTGTTCAATACTGAGGTAGCAGCATTAATGGTGTTTCTTTTAAAAACCATAACCGTGGCCGTGAAGTTATGTCTGTGTTCAGTCACACGAGTGCCTTAACAAACAAATAAGCATAGAGCTCTGTGCACTCTAGCTTTTATAACATTACATTGTTATAAAACCCTAACCCCACCCAAAAAAGATGAATAACTGTTTAACAGTCTAGCTCCACAATTCAGCACTACATAGTTCTCGGTATTTTCATGTTTTGAGCAACTATTTTCTAACATGTATAAATGTATTTAGAAACAAATCACAGATTTTGCTTTACCCCAACTTCAAAATTTAAATAATAAAAAGTTATTTTATTTTCCCTACCTTGTGGATCGAGGCCAAGTTGCTGTGGGCATCAGCAAAGGCAGGGTTGATTTGGATGGCACGGGTGTAGCACTGCAGTGCTCCCTGTACATCTTGCATTTCTTTCAGTGTATTACCCATGTTTGAGTAAGCATCAGCAAATGTGGGACTGATTCTAAAAGTCAAACCAGGAAACATCACTTGACTATGTTGTACATTGCAGCATCAATTTACAACCATGTACTTTGTTTTTTAGAAAACAGCAAGTGGGGAAAACTGTACATAACATGAGAATTGTAACATTCACCAAGTGATGGGATTTCTGAGCAGAGTGATGTGGCAGCACACCAATATTATGAGCTGCACTGAAGGTTTTGCATTGATTTACAAACCTAATGGCCTCCTTGTAGTGCATGAGGGCCTCCTGGAGTTTCCCCTGCTGCTGCAGGACACTGGCCAGGTTAGAGTGAGCTGCTGCAAACTCTGGGAACACCTGATGAAGAACAAAGAATTCCTAAGACCAACAGTAAACAACTGCAACGCTGATAGTTAAAGTAAGAATGATGGTCTTCTTGTACACACTTCTTCATACCAGAAAATGTTATGAACAGAAACATTTAACTCACCTCTAAGGCTTTTCTATACAGCTGCACTGCCTCTTCAATGTTGCCCTGCTCACGCTTAATATTGGCCAAGTTGTTAAGGGAGTCTGCATGTGTTGGACACAAACGCAGGGCTGTGTTGTAGCACTCTTCTGCTTCAGACACCTGGGGAAGACATCAGCATTTTAAAAGTTAAATTCGGTAAGTGCTCATTGACTTTAAAAGCCCTGAAAATTTTTAAAGATTCAGTTATGGAAGCCTGTCTGAATAGCAGACTTACATTGCCTTTCTCCTTCAGAGCATTTGCCAAATTGCAGTAGGCATCAGGAAAGTGGGGCTGCAATTCAATAGCACGACGGTAGGTGTCAATAGCCAGGTCAATTAGGCCTTGCTCGTAGTAGACACAGGCCAGGTTTCCATGAACAACTGCATGATTGGGGCTAAGACTCAAGGCTCTCAGGTATCCAGCCACAGCTCTAAAAACAAAAGATAAGTGATGATGAAGATAACCCTTGCTGAAATTTGCTGTTGTAGCTCTTATCTTTTAAAATAACCTCACATAAGGAGTGCATGAGTTTTTGTCTTGCTTATGATGGGAGTTCTATAGGTGTAGTACTGTTAAATGTGAAAATACTGCCAGTGTTCTTGAAGTCCCCACAGGGTGTGGTGATTTTTAAATACAAAAAAAAAACCAAACATCTGACATGAATGATGTAAGTAACATACTGTCTGTGCCATGATTTGAGCTCACCTGTCAAAGATGCGGGCTTCCTTCAAAACATTTCCTAAATTGATGTAAGCGTCAAGAAAATTTGGGTCCAGAGTCACTGCCTAGAAATTGAAACAAAGCTTAGAAACATGGAAAACAACAGACTACATCAAGGGAAAAAGTAGCAGGATGTTACAAAATGTCCAACTGACCTTTTCAAAATGGTGTATGGCCAGCCATATCTCTCCCTGTGCATTGAACACACAGCCCAGGTTGCTCCAAGCCACTGCAAAGTTGGGCTGAGTCTCAATGGCTTTCAGGTAACAAGCCTTCAGTGGGTTTACAATGAAAAACCACAGGAAAGAAAGAAAAAGGAGGTAGAGTGGGGGAGGTATATATGTAGAAGGGAGGACAAGGGATTGTAAAATAAAAACAAATAGAAGATTGAGAATAAAAGCAAGAAAAAACAAAAAGGGCAGAGAGAGCAAAATTAGTGACTCTTCTCTATAATGGCAAAAAGTGAGTCTACAGCATGGGCTTGTGTGCGCAAAAGTCTGCCGCGCTAAGCTGCATTGCTTTTTCCTACGCTGCGCAGATCCAACCAACACCTACACATAGGCCCTCATCTTGCAGTTATGACCACAATCGCATCAAATGTAGTGGCTCCTCAACAAGGCACAGTCTGCTGCCCCCCAATAATATCAACACTGTTTACTTATCACCCAAAGTATTCAAGATAATATTGAAGAAAAAATTGCAACTCTCTCTTAATAATGCTCTATAGTTATTTTATGTGGGCATTATATCTCACAACCTGGGATGCAGGACAGTTTGTGCAGGTGATGGTCCCTGTAATGCATGCGCAACAAACCCAAGTGCGGTGTGTGTCTATTGCCACTACCACCACATAATGCTGCTTGCGCGACCTGCCAAAGGTCATTGCTTTGCGCTGTGCTCGCTGTATGGCCAGGTGACACAGCTGCAGACCAACAACCCCCAGTAGAACACCTATAACACCAGACTGGCACACACTCAGCACCCATAATGTCTCTCAGAATAAACAGGGGATTATAGGGATCAACCAGTGGGTACACTGATGTTAAAACATGGGGCACTGGGAAATAAAGAGCCATTTGCCACTGAATCAGTAAAAGAGGTTACTGTGCATATCAAAATTTGGGTTTATAGAAGCCAAATATGTCTGAGATTAGGGTACATTTGGGAGCAAGGCTGGTTGAGATTGGGGAGAGGTCCGCAACCAACAGGCCAAAGGGGGTGAGGGGATGGGAATGTCGCATGCTTGCGCTTTCCGCCTTTTTGGATGCTTCAAGGATATCGCTGCGCAGCCCCTGCGCTACTGCAGACTCACAGCGCACTATTCGCATCATCAGAACGCTGCAACTCCAAATAAAAAAGGAAAAACAAAAACAAAATAGGAAAAATAACCAACATGTAAGAGTTAGAGGATTCTTACTTGTTTTTCACGATTATTGCTTCCAAATCCAAGTTTCTTTTTACTTAATACAGAACTGGGTAATTAGTATAGCATATTTTAAGAAATGCTTACTGTAATTTGTTTTGTTACTTTCTTTTGCTCTTCAAAGGAAGTCACAAGACAGAGGAGCTCAAGCATGAATTAAGGTGGTTTTTCTTTTGTTGGCAGTTACAAACCCGTTACCATATTTTTGGACTTTGTCAGAGTGGTGGCCGCAGCTGGCTGGAAGAAGAGGAGAGGACTGAGGCTGCCCTAGTGTTCCTTTCCGCCAGGCACCTACGCAGGAATAGTGTCACCCACCTGAAACCTTCTAAATAACAATATCAGTTGTGGAAAAACCAAAAGAGACAAAATCAGAAAACAAGATCGTTAGTAAAACTTCTTAAACAATACATTCTTCTTTTTCTAAATAAAACAGGTTCTTCCAAATCACAACAAACATAAAACAGACTTCTTAGTTTTCATTCATGCAATAAATGTTTCATTTCAAAGAAAAAAAATGCTTTAAGGGTAACTGGGAGGGAAGAAAGGCTCTGATGTGTTCAGTTTATCATGAAATACATTCTGGTATCCAGCATCAATCAGCTCAGTTTTTATATCTACAGGAGGGCAGTTACTGGCTTGATCTTGCCCAAATGAACTGATCACATTTCTTTGGGAATAGTATTACATATTTGAAGGACAAGGGAAAAAGTACTGATCATTGCTTTTGTTTAATTCATTTAGCAGTGTCATGAAATATTTTTAAAACTTTTTATTTCTTTATCCTGGCCTGCTTTCTTGATTCCTGGCCAATGGGGTAGGGAGAGAAATCTGTGGTTTCATTATTTGTATCTAGAAGCCTCCACAGTTCTGAAATAAAGAAGTCATCGCTGTTGCTGCGCATGCTTCTGTCTTTCTAACCAGCATCTGACGCAGGCGGTGGAGTACAGATTGTGAGCTGTCTGCCTGACACCACCTGAAACCATTTTAAGGCACTTGAGAATGAGCTCTCTTTAACCCCCAGTTTAACACACTATTCAGTAACAGTGGTTATCAGTAGATAACCAGCTGGGTAAAATTTCCCATTATCAACCACTGTTTAAAGAAAAACGAATGCATGAGTGCACGAAAAGCACTGCTGGGGTGTGCTGAAGCACTGACTGGGCATATCTGAAGGGTCAGGAAGACAGCTCTGAGCGCGCATACTCCACCAATCCTCAGCGAGCGCGCGGGGGGTGGAGCGACAGAGCAGGGGAGCCTGTGACTCCCTGATGCTTCTCCCCACTCCGGTACCCCCCTCTAGCATGAAATAAGATGGCCTGTAACCAGTGGGACAACTCCACATCTCCAGATTTGACCCAACCCAGGGAGCCCCCTGCAATATAGACATGTTTTAGAAGTGACAAATGAAGTGTAACATTTGGGGGGGAAACCCACACTGGCAGCACCTGTACTGACAGCAAACAGACATTACATTCTTGTATTGGGCACTTGATAGAACAATAGTATAGGAGTATAGTGGTTAGGCTAGAAACCATCTTATCTTTTGCACTGCAAAGTTAAACTAGCTTCTCATCAGTTCATGTATTCTCCAAAGACCGAGCCAGCATTTTCCCTCCAAAATCAATTACTTGAAAATGCATGGGTCAAGGTTAAAAATAAAAGTCTGTGTCAAATTAAAAACTCTAGCCTTTCTTCCTGATAGGGGAGGGGCTGACCACTGGTAAAAGGCCAGGCTAAGGCAAAGGACTATGGAACTAAAAGTGATATAGGGTGGGGACAAATGTAATGTGTAAACTAGAGTGAAAAACAAAATATATGAATCCATCTAAAAAGCACTGAACAGAAGGTCAGTGTGTACTATGTTATTAAAAAAAAAAAAAAAAAAAGATACAGAAAAGTTTGTTGCCTCATATGGATTTACTCCAGTCCAATACTTCCAAAGGTTTTAGCAAGTAAGGGGTGAAGGCTCTATGCAGTGCTAAGAGAAACACTACCACTTTCTTTCCTTCACTTGGCCAAGGAAGTTGAAGGGACAGGACCTGATGTAGTTTAAAAATGTCAAAGGGAAAAAAATCTAGGGCCCTAGTGGGGGACACCAACAACAAAAATTATGGACATGTGGAGAGAAAAAAAATAAATAAATAAAATAAAAAACTACAACAAAAACACAAACACCTCTATTCAAATTCAAACCCAGTGGAACGTACCTTGGCCTCTTCCAAACGTCCAAGGGCTTTAAGCAAGTTGCCCAAGTCACTACGCACACAATAAAGATCCTAGAAAAAAAAAAAAAAAAAAAAAAAAAAAAACATATTGCTACAATAAACCACAGAATGTGTCAACTACAAAAATATGTTTGGGATATTAGCATGCAAGAGTTTACTGTCACATTAAGGATTTCAACATGTAGCATGTCACTTACAGGGTTATACTGTAATGCAGACACATAAGCCTGTACTGCTCCCTCCATGTCCCCTGCGGCTACCAGAGCTGCTGCCAAGTTGATGTAGCCATCAATAAAATCTGGCTTCAGTCTCAGAGCATGGCGATAATGTTCTATGGCTTCCTGCAGCTGTCCACGCTCCTTGTAGACGTTGCCCAGGTTAGAGTATGCCTCAGCCAGCATTGGGTTCTGTTTGATGGCCAAGGTGCTGAAGTGAGCAGACCTGTAGAGCCACAGTAGGTACAGAGTGGTCTCAATCATGCAGGGAATGGCTGGCAGTGTGAGCTCGACACATAGTATGGAGGTAGCAACAAGGTGCAAGTGGTGACAAAGTGACTTACTGAGCCATAAGGGTAAATATTCAAACAGCACCTCAAGAAATATATCCTTAAAACGTTCAAAACATTAGGCCAATACAGGATACAGTACAACACATTTCACCAACTTTTAAAAACTTACTGAACCCATCATTTAAGTTTCTATTATGCAAAAAGAAAAAAGAAAAAAAAAACTGGGCTGCCAGTATATTCAAAATGAAAATGTGTTTGCACAGATACATAGTGAATCTGCAACCAAGAATATGCATCATACTTGGTTTTGATCATCAGAGTGCACAGAAAGCGCATTCTTTGACGAGCAACTGAACAATGAAACATCACTACCCAAGATGGTTTGGTAAATGTTTACAGCCTACTGAGTAATAATATCTGCATTTCTCAGCATACTTTGCCTCATTCCTTTTAGTGCTTTATTTGACAGCTGTACACTAAAATTCAAATTAATTTGGAGTACAGTGCTGGCACTGGGCACAGTGAAGGAATAGAAAATGGTAAATAACACAAAATGTTTACACCTGCAACTTGCCAGTCCCAAAACCTTCACCATAATCCTTGCAAAGCAGGGGTATGGCCAACACTGACTCAGTGTTAGAATTGCGAGGTGGCAGTGTGAAAGCATTAAAACCAACCAACAGGATTTCCAAAACAGTTCAATTCATGAATTTGACTTCACAGAGCAGATGTATGCAATAAAAGTCACAGAAGGCCCATTATTCTTTGCACCTCTGAGCCACAGGCTCAGCCCCACCCCCACACCTCACCTGTCAAGTCTTCGGCACTGGAAGTGAATGGAGGACAGGAGCAGTAGCACCCCTGTGTTATCAGGCTCCTGCCTCCATAGCTGCATGCAGTGGCGCTCGGCTGCCTCAAAGTCTCCTGACTGATACTCCCGATGTGCCAGCTCAGCCAAGCCTTGGAAGGAAAGCATACGTTTTGTCGGTTCTGGAGCACCAACACAGCCCAAAGGAGGGGGGAGGGGGGTGGAGGGACAACATGTTAGAAGTAATGGAAGAAATTAAGAAACAAATGAAAATAAATCAAGAGATGAAGCAAATGGTGCCACCAACAAGTAATGGTTAATGCAATGAACTCAACAGAAAACAAGGTAATGGACAAAAATCAAGGGTCGCTAAGAGGTGTTGCAATCATATGACAAACCTTTGAGGATGTTGCATTTTGATTTTCTTTTCTGGGGTCACAATTAGATTAAAAATATTAAGTCTATTCAATTTTATGCAAGATTAAATGTATGGCTGCACCAGTCACATTACCAGAGAGGCCCAACTATAACATGTTTAAAATGACTGCATTTTCCTTACCACAAGAAACTCTATACTCTTACACACATCATTCTTCATTTGTAAATGTTTCAAGTGTGCTATGTAGCTCAGAGAACTCTACTAAAAATCAGACTGAGGTAAAAATCTGCAGAATTGCAGTGAACATTCTAGACAGTTTAAGCTGTTAATCAGTAAAATACATCTGAGATACTATTTTAGACAAGTAAAATATGCAAAGTAGCAAAATCAATACCCAATCTGGGAAAAAAAATAATGCAGCAGATGAGAAGGCAAGGCAGGGAGGGGTTGACACACTGGCAGCAATTCAGAACCTGCATCAATACTTGACAGTACATCTGTCAAGACACGTTTCAAAATCATACAGCCCTAAAACAGCCAATATCTTGAGCTGTAAATAATCATTTTATTGTTATTTTGTATGTTGTATGTATTTTAGCAATCAGCATACTCTTGTATTGAATGTGTATGTTTTTCATTACTAAACTTGTGGTGTTACTAAATATTATCTTTCATTTTATCAAAGGGTTCTTTGCCAATACTTATGAAAGCCTCAATTTCTGAGGTGTCCCTCCAGGTCACTTTATTTAGGGTGTGGCATAAACGCCATGAAGCCGCAGACATCATGCACAAGGTATAGCTGGATGGAGGTGGTGTACTGGTTTGGGGACATTCCAATACACAAAGGATCGGTACACACCTGCATACCGATGACATTAGACCAAAGCATACAGTACCACCAGCACGCAGGACATCAGGTTCGTCCATCCAAGCCCGTTGCGTCATAATACAAGGAGGATGGACAGTTGTTATTACATGTACCGAGACCTGTTCACGGCAAATTCCTAACAGCCAGGTTAAATGTAGTTAATGACCACAACCAGATGGAGACACCTCGAAAGCAGGGCTAGCAGAAAACGATAATTAACCCTGGGTATCTGCGCTTTTGTCTTCGCTGTCGGTTTCAGAAGCGTGTCGATTCAGGGGCCCCGTAGAGTCAGTGGTCATGACGACTAGTAGCTAGGTAATAGTTATCAGAACCAAATGTGGTAGTGGTGGTATTTTAAACAAAGGGATCTGTTCATTTAATTTCCTTATTTTGGCATAAACGTAAAGAAAAACACATCTGAAGGGCTGCACATTAGCTAACGTTACTTAATAATAATAAAAAAAAAACATTTAGACAAAACACATTACGTACGTTACATGCCTGTTAGAAGTTCCCACTTTAACGTCAATACAACGTTTATACACTTGTCTGCAGTGTGAAATAATTTTTAGCATAATTACAATCTAATTACCAATGACTACTACAAATTATGCTAACAGCTAACGCTATGTTAGCTACTATTAGCCCGATTAAGCTATGTGCCTTTTATTCGACTAACATGACAACCGAGACACAAATTGCCAAGGTCACTGTGTTCAGATATGTAGCGCCAAAACGACACTGATGAAAGCTTGTTTACAATGCTGTAATTTTAATTAACGTTAACGGCAAGCCACTAGTTCTACCTCATCTAGCTTTGTAAAACGAGAAGTAGGCTCCTCTTGACGGTGTTAGCTTAGCATTAGCGTCACTACGTTTACGTTACTTGCCATTTAACGTTAGTTAAATTGAACCAACCAACCTGTGCTGTCAGCCACGTTTCCCACTGAGCTCGCCATCTCCTCAGTCTTCGTGTCTTGCACGGGGGTCGTCAACGTGTCTTCTGGCAGATAACAGTTTCAGAGAAAAATGTGCGACGGATAGTCGTCCTTGTCGGCTCCCCCAAGCTAGGCCAAGTTAGCTAAACTAGCTAACCAAACTTCTGATTTCCGCACCCTGTTCAACGCTTGCAACGGTCGAACAACAATGTAGTTAGGTGGGTACACATTAATTAACTAACCTTGTTGCCACACCTAACTTTCTACTAGCTTAAAATATCCTGTTCTTTAGAGAATCGCACTGACTTTCTCTCTGCAGCAAAGCCGCTAGCGTTATGTATTATAAAATGGCGAAGTGGCTGGGACTCGTTTTTGAGAGAAACTAGATTCGTACATTCTCATTAACAGAGAACGTCTGTAAGTTCTAATAAATGTCTTATTGGTGAAATAGCAGTTAATAGGACGTGGACGTGGAGTGTCGTTTACTAATCATGTGTTATATGTTCCATATAAACTGAATAAAAATGATGCTGCGCGGAAGAACACATTGGTGCAAACGATACCAAGGTGCTCTAAAAAAAACGCCATCAGTGGTTCAAAGATTCATGAGATGAATTTCCTCTAAATTTCAAAATGGCTTGCCTTCCAAATATATCTAGCATGCTAAAGTCTGCAGTCTACAGACCCACAGATCAAAAGAATATGAAATAAGAAGAAAACTAAATTGAAAGTTTGTATTTCAGACCTGAATGTAGTGTACAGTACATTCAAGTTAGAAAATGTACAATATCTCTTAAATTACTAAACTACACAAATGTAGCCTACACTACAAGTAGGCTACCAAAATATAGATGAGCTGTTCTATACATTTTAACAAGTGTAAGCCCAAACAAATGCATAAAGGTAGCTCTCATTAGTCCTGTTTGGGAATAAGAAACAGCACATCCATTGCAAGACAAGCTACTGTACTGCCAAAAGCAAACAAGTTAAACAGACTGTAGTGTACACGATTTTGTGTAGGTGGCATACATACATCCATGCATTAATTTATTACGAATAACATTTTACCATTTTAGGCAACTTAGGCTATAACATAGGTTGTTATTTAATTGTATTATTTGGCTTATTAAATGATATTATTCCAGTGTTCAGATACATATAGTAT